ATAGATCTGCTTAGCCTGGTCCATTTGAAATACTTTCTTCTTTCTTCATTCCAGTCATACTTCTATAAAGACAAATTTGAGCACTGCATTAATATTTTTAGAATTACATTGTCAGCCAAATTTAATGGGATTTTTCCAATATGAAATTGAAAAATGGAACCTGAATTTTCTGGTTACCTTTTGTGTTTAAAGATAGCTTTAAAATATATGAAAACCCTTTTACAAAGAGATATGCCTTGTGAAATCACAACAAGCTAGCAGATAGAAGAGCTTTTAGAGAAGGATACAGAAAACTAACAATTAAAATATATTGAAAAAGAAATACCTATTGATCATGCTGAAGTAATTACTAGTACTAATCCTTGACAGCAATGTTTGTCATCTGTTGATAAGATATTCTAAAAACACCCTTTTTTCAGAAAATATATTCCAATGCATTTCCATTTGTTTCTGTCCAGTTCTTCTGTTCCTGATGTTTCCGTTAAATTGGAGCCTGATGTGGATTCTTTCCAAAAACCACTGACCACAGTTCTCTGTGATGGTATTCTTGATGCTACTGAGCTGACCACAGCAAGGTAGGATAAGATATTAACTGTAGTTTTAAGACCTGTGTGAACAAGAATATATTTAAAGTGCTAATTAGTTCAGTGTCTTTATTTAAGTCACACAAAGTTGGTAGTTGTGATAGAATTGTCCTAGCATGTCCCAAATTGCTATGGACCATCCTGGGGTAAACAGAATTTGTCAAATTAAGACAGATTCAAATACTTGTTGTGTTTCCGTCATATAAGTAATTTAATCCTGGAAAATAGGATCTAATAGATTGGATCCTTGGCTTTCTAGCTTAACAACCTGGTAAGAGCCTACCACACATAATGCTTTTCAGTGTAGTAGCAAAATCATAGTACACAAATGTATTGTCTTATTGTATATGTGCACCATCTGCTCACAGATCCCAAGGGCCATAATCTCATATCATGTTTCTGTGTTGGATGGGACATGGCTTTCAGACACATTAAAAAAACCAGTAGTTTCTCCAATGACTGTGCTAAATCTTGACATAGGCAATTAAAAATTGGCTATCCTATCTATGTAGCTGTGAGGGAGAACAGAGAGAGCCAAGTAAGCAATAGGAAGAATTTTCATTCATTGAATACAAATTTGATGGTTTTTAGGACCCTTAACAGATTTTTACATTATAATAAACAGTCAGTAAAATTGCAGTCATATGCACTTACCGTTTTAGTTAGCATTATGTTTTAGTGAAAGCAATTTTGCCCAGATGTAGTGCTTAGCCTGACAATAGATTTGTGGAACTAAGAACTCCCAGGCGAGTGCTGGAAGTAGAGGAAAGCTGGAGTGGGTCAATTCCCTACTTATACTAATTCATCATTCATTAGCCTGTGCAATTCTGTATTTGCAGATGGATATTTTAAAAGCATTGTTACCAGCTGGTACCTCTGAGTGGTTATGTAATGGTTTATAGGTTTATAGGTTTATTAGGATTTGTATGCCGCCCACTCTCGAGAGTCTCCGGGCGGCTTACAGATAAAGCAGGAAGGGGGGGAAAGTTAAAAGTGAACATGGGTATTGTAATAGATCCCTGAATTTTGTAATGAGNCATGCAAAATTCAACTACAAACACCATGCAAAATTCAACTACAAACACCATGCAAAATTCAACTACAAACAATTTCTGATGTACTGGCCTTAATATACCACATTGACTTTTTCTCCAGGCTGAAAAGCTGTGTATAATCAGTTATCAGGCTTTGACAGGCAGCACTAATTCACAACAAATTAAGTGTATATTGTGTTCAACAAAAAAAGGGGTACAAAGGGAAGGAAGAGTTATGATAAAAGCAGTAAATCTAAGTTCACTTAACCTTAATACTTTTGCCTGACTCTTCAGCATTAAAAAATACATAAAGATCAAACCTCTGCCCATAGCAGTTTGGTCTACTACAGTGATGACGAACCTTTTTGTAAACACGTGACAAATTTATGTATGTGTGTGCTATTGTGCGTGTGCCTGTGCCCCACAATGCAATGCGCCCTGCCCAGCTGTACAAGTGCATGTGACTCCCCAGCACATGCGCACATGCCCCCCCATATATCCACACATGACCCCCACACACAGATGGGGGAGTTTTTGCCCACCCAGGCTCCAGAGGCTTTCTTCAAGTCTCTGGGAGGGCGAAAACGACTCCCCCCAGAAGTCAGTTTATTACCCTCCCCAGGCTCTGGAGGCTTTCCTGAAGGACGAAAATTAGCTGGCTGGCGCACGCCTGCGCGCTGGAGCTGGCGCCTCACGTACCGGCAGATATGGCTCCTTGTGCCACTGTGGCACACATGCCATAGGTTCACCATCATGGGTCTAGTAGTTAAGGCACCAAGTTAGAAAGCAGGAGATTATGAGTTCAAGTCCAGCCGTGAAAGCTAGTTCAAGTTAGCCATGAAAGCCGGCTGGGTTTCACTTTCAGTCCAATTCACTTCACAGGATGGTTGTTGTGGGAAAATAGGAGAAAGGTATGTTGGATGTTCTCGCCACCTTGAATTATTTGTAAAAATAATAAAGGTGGGATATAAGTTAAATAAATAAATAATAATAAATACTTTTTTTTTATTAAAAAAAAGCTTTAGCCCATTATTTCCTTTGCAGTCCTGCTACCAAATGCTCAAACAGTCCTCTAAAGTGCTTCCTTGCTGATCACCTATTTTGGGAAAGCAGCCAATATATAATATTTTCTAGCATGCATTTCTTTTCCTGTTTATTCATTTTTAAATACTGCCCTTGCTTAGCCTTGAAAGATGCATTTTTACCACCTTCAAAACTTGATAATTGATTCTCATTATTGTGATCATATACAAATGCTCAATACAGCTAGAATACATGAATGTTTAGATTTCTCAAAGTCCCTAAAGGGAATCATACCAGGAAAAATGGTATAAAAATATTAGTGTAGTTAATGTGACTACTTTTAGTATTATTTGGTCGTAGCTCCTACCTTTTGATGAGACTGTGATTTAAAGGTAAATAAATACAATGTAGAGGGAATTTAGAATTAATTTGACTATAGATTGTATTGAGTAATGCAAACCTAAATGGATCAATCCACATGTTGATTATCTGAATACCTTCCTTAGAATCAAGTCAGCAAATAAGTTGGAATGTAAAATCACTTCCTGAATAGTTTGTAACTTGTGGATTTTAATCTAGTCACATATATATAAGTATATTTACTCACTTTTAAGAAATAATCAGGATTTTCTGACCAGGAGACAAAAATTGTAGTAGTGAAATCTTTATATCAGGGTTCCAAATAACATCCAAAATTAAATCAGAGTCCAAGGCAAAGTATTCCTCAAATTTCCAATTTATTAAGAGAGTCACGTTAGCACATCTGTGAAAACCCGAATGTGAGCTTCCTGAGTTTTCCCCACCCAGTTGAAAGTTCATGATCTTGCCCAACACCCACAAGTCCATCACATGGTCCAATCTTCCACTACCATGCTGGCAGTTCCACCCATCCAGTTCTGGTCAGGTGCAGAGGTGTAGAGACAAAGGATGACCTTGGATTCTAGAAGGGAATTTTATTTTGACAACATCATATTCTACTCCTTACTATTCCCCCTCCCAATTCCCCACTAATGAAATAGCATAGTAGAATAGAATATTAGTGTGGCAAGACAAAGATCCTAAAAGGAACCGGCTGCAGGCCTGACACTTTATCCAATAATGCAATATTATAATATTTTGCATGTAGTCATCTAATGATTAAATATATATATGTCTAGATTGTGCTAAAACAATTCAAATGTCTAGATTCTGCTAAGATCAAATATGAACTATTAAAATATATGGCATGAGCTATGAAGAGTGTAGTATATCTGTATATATTTTTAAAAAAAACTACAGTGCAGTTAGGCAGCCAGATACAAAGCTAGTTAATGAGCAGATGGAAAGGAAGGGAATTTGTTGCCAAAACAAGGAGAAAAAAAGACAATGAAAAAAATCAGTGTGATGCTTTTAAATAGATATGCAGTTTATTATCAAGTGGAACTTGAAAAAGCAGGGCTAAAGGAGTATTCATGCTTTTGAACTTCAGAGTTGGAGAAAAATCTAGAAAATACCACAACCAGCCAAAGAAACAAATAGATGTATCATTGAACAAATCAATCCGGAGTTCAAGACACATTTGACCAGGCTCAAATGCACATATTTTTGACCTATTATATGAAAATCTTGGTTTCTGGGCAAGTCTATAATTCTGTGAAAGGTGGAAGGAAAGAGAAGATCTAACAGTGAAGTGGATCAACTGCAGTGGATGCACCATTGGAAAACCTGAAGGACCAGTCTACAAACAGATCATCATGGTGAAAATCTAAAATTGGATATGAGCATTATTTATCAATCAATTGATCAGCCTTCCTTTCTTCATATTTCTGTAACATAAGAATCCTGGTAGATCATACCATCATATCATTCTGTGATATATACAGATAGTTCTCAAATTATGATCAAAATTGGGATCAGAATTTTGGTTGCTGGGGAGTCGCCAGCCGACATTAACCGGCAGATGGAATCCGGAGGAGGCCTAGTCTGTGTGATCTTATGGGTCTCTGGGAGGTAAATGGCAGGAGGCGGTCTCTCAGGTAGCCAGGTCCTATACCATGTAGGGCTTTAAAAGTAACGATTAGCACCTTGAAACGTGTCCGGAGACCAATGGGAAGCCAGTGCAGCTTGCGGAGGATAG